TTTCCTTATTGTATATAGCTTTACCGATAAGAAAAAATACAAACGAGACTCAAAAAGGATATGAATGAGGAGAGTTTGTTGTTCTTTATCAGCAATAATATCAAAATTCATATATTACGGAACTTGAGATCCGAGATCGCCAAAATTTGTCTTATTTTTTATTCTACAAAAGCGATCGTCAGACTGAAAGGTTTAATTTCCCATAACTGACGAAATATATTCAGTTCTTGGCGCTTCTGATTCTAATAGAATTGCTTTATGGGGCAGAGATCTGGCAAATGGTTGGGGGTAACGTAATTACTAATCATGTAAATTTTTTTCTTTTAGCAGGTTCCAGATCAAGCGAATGAAACACTATAAATAAGCCGGATTTGTGAGGCTTCATTTCTTATCTTATCGAATTTTTTTTAAGGTACGCATTATGAATAAATTTTTGAGTCAGAAATATAGTTACAACTTCATGTATTAATTAATAGTTTTGTTTTTTCTTAGCAGTTACGATGTCAGAAAACAAAATTTTATATGTGGAAGGAGAAACAAAAGACTTTGATACTGATCACGAGAACATCCGAGTAAAGATTGAAGTGTTAAATGAAGACGTCGCGAGGGTTTTTCTTGTAGATAAAAATGATATTCCAATTGACGATTTAGAGCGGAGCTCATGCCAAGGCATAGAAAATGTAGTTTTTATGAATGTAGCGACTAAAAATAAAGTTTCAACTGTACTCGTTGAGAATAGAAAAAGTTATCTCATAACTTGGATAAATAGCTACGAGTTATCTGTCGATGGTAGGAGAATTTTTAAGTTAAATCAACGGAAAGAGCAAAGTAGTGTTGTGGTGTCATTGGCCCGCTTTTTTCAAAAGGAGTAATTTGCAGTATATAACTGTGATATGATTTTTTATTTTATGTTATTATTTTTGTAACATTTTTTATATATCAATAAAGTAAGGTTCTATGTAACCATTTGTCTCGATCAGAGAAATTATGCAAATATGTGTCTTTGACACTAGCTCCGCTATTATGATCGGCAAAGGTAATGGATCATCCATAGAAAAACAATTAATGTACGTTAAATATTGTACCTTATTTGATCACTCATATTACTATGATTCATATTCCGAGATCGCCCATAGATAATAGCGGAGCTAGTGTCTCTGACACATAAATTAATTTCATATATTGGAATTGTAAAACTCGTCTAAATGTTATCAGGTGAAGTTCAGTTAAAGTATCCACCTGAAGTTCAATAGGAGTTTGGTTGAAAAATAATTTATTATAATATTTCGTAGTGAATCCGCAGTTGAAGTATACTTAAAGTATAGTTGGAGCACTAAAATATATGAACATGTATTTTTTCTTAAATTTTAATTACGGATCTAACCTTGTAAGGTAACGGATCATTCATAGAAAAACAATTAATGTATGTCAATACTATGTTATCTGAGATCGCCCGGTCCGAGATGTTCAAATCCGAAATGAAGGCACGATGAAGGTACGTTGAAGGCACGATGAAGGTATGATGATTTTTTTTTTCTTATAAAAACATATGGAAATATCATATCTCAGTTGAACATCCGTTGAAATTAAATTTTTGTGATGTGGACCGATGATCAACTGCGCTTACTAATTGACGAAAGAAAAAATCGAAATGAGGAGTATTACAATATTCCCGGTAGTAGCAGGGCAGACTTTTGGAATAGTATTGCAATTACAATCAACCAACGATTTAGAACTACCTATACAGGACAACAATGTAATAATAGATTTCAGAATCTTGTTAGAGATTATAACGTAAGCGTTAAATTCTATATACTATTTATCTATGACATTTCTAATGTACTTTTATATTGCCTATTTCACTGAATTTATTTTAGTCGATGTGCCAATACATAGCTGGGAGTAGAACCGGGAAGAGAAGCAGAGCAGGTGAACGTTTTTTTGAAGATTTTAATTCTCATTTTTGGGAGAGACCTGGTAAGATCACCTATATAATCTATCACTGTAGTAGTAAATATATAGATACATGGATTTACCTCGTATATGAAATATAGAAACCCCATTCGACATATTGCATAATACAAATACATCCACCAAAAGACGTCGCCGTAACCGTACCCCACCACCATCTTACGAAGTGTCAACAATTCTAAGTACGAGTCGCCGTGAATCTACCACTAATCAAAGGAATCGATCCGCATCACCCACCCAAAGAGCGACTAGTGAAAGGAATGAGAATAACAGCGAAACAGCCACCACCAATAATAACCAAGATAATAGAAGGAATGAGAATACCACTGAAACGGCCACCACCAATAATAATCAAGATAATAGAAGGAATGAGAATACCAGTGAAACAGTCACCACCGGTAATAATCAAGATAATGGAAACAATGTAAATAATGTTAATGATGTGAGTCAGCCACCTTCTTATATGGAATCTATAAATGAAGAGAGGAATCCGTGAAGCAGGATGTTAATACATCTGAAAAAGTAATAAAAAAAATATTATATTCCTTCTTGATTAAACGTAATTGCTAGTATATGTCCATCCTTTTAATTGTATTCTTTTCATCACCATAAACGAAGAAGTATGTTATCCATCTCATATATTTCAACGTGAATTGATTTAAAGGAATTAAATTTATTGCAATGACACTTATGTGCCTTGATAATCCCTCTGCATAATCAATCAGATAATCGATATGTTGTACATGGCTATGTAATGAAAATTATTTTTAGAATTTCGAT